GTGTGTGTGGGCTCAACTCTGCTCTGTGTTTGTCAGCATGCAGGCAGCAGCTCCAGCAGACGGGCATCATTAAGCTGTCTGACAGCATCAATCTGTTCTGATGGGACACCCAGACTGGATGTAGGAGGGCCGAAAAAGGCTTCTTTTGACACTCAATCGCACCGTGAAATGACACAGGTACACAGCCCCGCACTCCTGTGACAGTCTGTGATCATGTTCTCTTCTCTCCACTGACAGTCGAGCTAACTCGAGCCATTTGTTTCCTTTATCCTCTCCATCCCCAAACTTCAGTATCATCTTTCTCTGCTAGTCCTGTTGATGTATCAGTTGATAGTCCACCATGTTATTCACCTGGTATTGCATGTGTGTGTTTCCATTAGAGGTCCTTTAGATCAGGACTGACTCTGTTCCTGCTGATCGACACTGAGCTGTGGGAAAATCGGTCTGTCCAGCTCATGAGTGCTGACAAGTTCTCAGAGACAAAGAGGCAGAATTGCAGCTACAGTGGCGGCATGCAATTTCTACCCTGACTATACAGATGGACATCATCGAGTGAACACACCGTCAGTTACTGAAGTGACACATCTTCAATTAAAGGTCATTAGACTGGAAATATTCTGTTCTTAAATCTCCTGTTGCCTTTTGTGAACATGAATCCACACATCAGCCAGTCTTTATTGGCAGGATTTCTCTGAATGGGACTCCAGCAGCAGACACAGACTCAGAGGTGTTCAACAGGATTACCTGTCTCAATGAAGGATTAATAGAGAGAGGATGTGTGCATGTATCTAATGCCTGAATACTTAAACCGAGCAAAAAGCTTTAATCCTGTAATCCTATAATAGTCTCTCATGTCTGATTTGTATTGACTCTTAAAGAAGGAAACAAATATCCAGTCTTTTATTTGCACCATGTGAGAGGAGAGTGTCACTTCAGCACAGTGCTGTGTGCTACAAAACACACCGTGATGATGTCATGTGTGTCTGACTCAGTGTTGTAGTCAAGACCACACTAACCCTGACCAAGACATACAAGAGACCAGATTGAAGAGAGACCAAGACAAGACCAAGACCAAGACCAAGACCAAGACCAAGACCAAGACAGGGCAAGACCAAGACAAGACCGAGACATTAAGGGACTAAGACCGAGCCAAGACCAAGACCAAGGCAGGGCGAGACTGAGACTGAGACAAGACCAAGACCAAGACCAAGACCAAGACCAAGACCAAGACCAAGACCAAGGCAGAGTGAGACTGAGACCGAGACAAGACCAAGACCAAGACCAAGACCAAGGCAGGGCAAGACTGAGACAAGACCAAGATCAAGACCAAGGCAGAGTGAGACTGAGACCGAGACAAGACCAAGATCAAGGCAGGGCGAGACTGAGACAAGACCAAGATCAAGGCAGGGCGAGACCGAGACAAGACCAAGACCAAGACCAAGAACAAGGCAGTGCAAGACCAAGACAAGGCCGAGACATTAAGGGACCAAGACCGAGACCAAGACCAATACCAAGGCAGGGCGAGACTGAGACAAGACCAAGATCAAGGCAGGGCGAGACCGAGACAAGACCGAGACCAAGACCAATACCAAGGCAGGGCGAGACTGAGACAAGACTGAGACATTAAGGGACCAAGACCGAGCCAAGACCAAGACCAAGGCAGGGCGAGACTGAGACCGAGACAAGACCAAGACCAAGGCAGAGTGAGAATGAGACCGAGACAAGACCAAGACCAAGGCAGGGCGAGACTGAGACAAGACCAAGGCAGGGCGAGACTGAGACAAGACCAAGATCAAGGCAGGACGAGACCGAGACAAGACCAAGACCAAGACCAAGACCAAGACCAAGACCAAGACCAAGAACAAGGCAGTGCAAGACCGAGACATTAAGGGACCAAGACAGAGACCAAGACCAATACCAAGGCAGGGCGAGACTGAGACAAGACCAAGATCAAGGCAGGGCAAGACCAAGACAAGACCGAGACCAAGACCAATACCAAGGCAGGGCGAGACTGAGACAAGACCAAGACAAGACCAAGACAAGACCGAGACATTAAGGGACCAAGACCAAGCCAAGACCAAGACCAATACCAAGGCAGGGAAAGACCTAGACAAGACCAAGACCAAGGCAGACCAAAACTGAGAGCGAGATATTTATATTGGATGTGGAGGAATTTATCTTTACCTTTCAATAATACCATCCTAACATGGAATCAGTGTATTTACAGTGATGTATTGGTTTAACAGTCTACAGCTATCCACACTCAATGGCAGCAGCATTGAAAAGGTCGTTGTTATTTCAACGTGCCATACACACCCTATAGGTGCCCACCTGCCCACATGGGCTTACAAGACTCTGACAAACCGAACAAACAGGAGCAGTTCATGAAAGAAGAAGAACAGATACAATGTGCTGTACAGTACACGTCAAACAGTAACAGGTCAAATATGAACTTAAATCAGTTTGAACACTCTTAGGTGCCGACTGTGACTTCAATAACTCAAACATAAAGAGTCCTCCTGCGCCATTGGCCACAACTTAAGCGAGCTGAAACACCTCATGTGTGAATAGATACTACAATCTGTCTTCATCCCACAAAGAAAACAAAACAAAACTGGACTGTCTTAAAACATTTGACAGAAGAAACCAGACATTTCAGAGACTTATACAATAAAAAATATATAAAAATCTCTGTATTTGGCTCGATGAATCATTTACATTCAAGCACAACGTTGAAAATCTCACTGACAAACTTAGACAGGAACTTTTTGTTCAGAATTAGATCCAATTTTTCTTAAGTCTTGTCCAAGCAGATTTAATGTCAGCTCTAGATTATGGTAACATTATCTATATACAAGTCTCTGCTTCCACCCTCAAATTCACAGACTCGCAGATTCATAACCGAAGACCCCTCTAATATTTATCTTTGTATAATGACATTCACCATTTTATTAAACATCCATGAACCGGACCAAACTCACTCTACTGACTGTCTATTGCATCAAGTCCTGCATGTGCAAACGTTTGATTTGTGCTCTGCTTTGTATCTCAACATCGCTGTAATAGAAGGAAACCTCAACGATGCTGGAGGCTTAAATAAAGGTTTGAAATGAAAATTAAAAGTTTGAATCACGCAGAGCATAAAGCTCAGCTCAGGTTCAAGCAGGAAGAGGATCATTAAGCCTGATTTATTTACTTTCTACCTCTTTTTAACACTTTGTCCATCTCAAATCAAACAGATTCTGCAATGTCACCATCAGCCAATCATCTAACTGCTTTCATTTTAAATATCTCTTCACCCACCTGCTGCTTTTTAAGCTGCAGGGACAGTGTGTTTGATTTTGAAAGACATGACAGGGTGGGAGATGACCCTCTCCTGAGTCAGACTAGGGCCCTTTCCGAATTGTCACAGTTCAGTATGCAGTACGTACTATTCAGCAGGGAGTTTCAGTATACTGAACTTTCGTGGTCATTCAGTATGCATTTTTTGGGTCCACCTCAGTATACTGAACATTTCAGTATGGATACTAACATCCGGGTTTCATGCAGTATGGATCGGATGCGTGCTTTCAGGAAATGAATTGTATTTTACCACCCACAATGCTGTGCGAAATTAAACGTAAATCGGCACGTCACGTGCGCCTCCAAATCAAAACAAACGAGCGTGGATTGATTTAATCAATTCTTAATCTAGAGTTAAAGTCCCGACTGAAATCGCTACTTTTAATTAACAACAGAAAATATAACAAATGTCTGCATTATTATAAAACCTTTCCCCCTCTATTTAAATAATGATTTCACTATTTAAATGTGTCTTTATTGGTTTATTTTATATTCTGTATATTACTGTCTTTCATTTGTACTTTCCTTTATGTACTGTATGTTATATAGTTAATTAATCTGTCTTTTACTTGATTTACATTGTAATATATATATTTTTTTTTTTTTACCTGACTGTATGCGCATTACTCTTCTTGAATAAAGCTAAACAAAAAAAAAGCGGAAAAAGAAAACGGGTGGATGCGGCCGGTTCGGGAAACGTAAATGACGTCACTTCCATACTGAATGAATGTACTTGGCAATTCGGATACGGCCCAGGACTCAGTATACAGCCATCCAGCAACTTTTAAAAGGCGCACACACTGACATGTGTTTCCAGCACTCTCATAAAACCAAACTAAGAAGCTGATTGGTCACCGTGCTGCTCCTGTCATCACTCCACCATCCATTCACAATTTATCTTAAAGCTGCTGTACTTACAGTCTGCAGAGCTTCATTACTTACTGCTGACATTTAATTACAGAAGTAAACAGAGGAGAATGGATGGAGACTAAATCCTTCTTATCCTGAACATCAACCTCTCCTCTCAATATTGATAAAGTCATCTCTCCAACTTATTAAAGTTTGCTCCTTCTTTTCTGTTTCCTCCACACTAACATCACTTCAAGCCAGTGTGAGAGCAGCGATTAAATACATCTAATGGATGAAGGATGATTGACCAAGAAATATCCCTTTGCTGGGAAAAAAAAAATAGAATGCTTACAAAAAATGAAATGTGAATTTTCTCTGAATACACTTTCTGTAGGCTACTGCGCACAAACACACTTACACACACCACCGGAAAAGTAGAGTGGAGCTGACAGTAGAACAGCCTCCACATGTTCGTGTGCTGAAGCTGTCAGCTGGACCATCATCCTCTCTGTGTTACACACTGCTACTGAACATAAAGAGTGCTGTCAGATCAGCTCATCACTTTATTCAGAGCAAACAGAGCTCCACTGGAAACAGCCAACAGCACAAAGTCACCATGAGGAGATCTCTGAGTCATGTCAGTGTTTTCAGGAAGGGAAGTCACTTCACATACCTTCACAACTCGAGTCAGCAGCACAAGAAAACAATCCACGGTAGTTTTCTCATTTCTCTCTCATCTCCAGTGTTTCCTAGTGGAAAACGTCACGACATGAAATGAGGAAAAAAAAAATAATGAAACGATCCCTTGCCTTGAAATCCAAAGAGGAGAGTGACGCCGGGGATCCACACGGTGTGTATCCAGAAGTAAAGCATGGTGTCCCTTTAACAAGGTGGAAAAGCTCCGCGCTCCTCCCGACGAAGCTCCGTCTCCAGCGGGTAATTTCCAGAAGAGAAAGCGCTGAAAGTGAAGCCGAGCGGAGGAAGAAATCCCAGTCTGACCGGAGCTGATGAACACAAGTGCTGCAGACTCTGTCACTGCTCCACCTGCTGCTGCTGCTGCTGCTGCTGCAGGCGGACACTAGCGACCCCTACAGGAACCACAATCCGAATTGGCTCAGAAGTGACAATCGGACCAAATCATTAAATTCTATCCATCTCGAAGACGTATCCACACGTGAGGAAAATCCCTGTAGTATAATTACAGGAATTTGTTCATAAAGTGAACTCATATTTTTGTTTGAATACTTTGAATGAACTCATTGGTAAGACCCTCCTTACATGACTTATCTCCTGTCTACAAACATCTCATGCCAAACAAGTAGATCTCAAGAAATATCAAGAGTGAACAAAGTACAAAACATTAACAAAGTACATTTACTTGAGTACTGTAGGCTACTTGAGTACATTTGTTGATCATCTGTACTTTACTTGAGTATTTTTCCTTGATTCCTCTACATTTCAAGTATACATATATTTTACTTGAGACATGACATTAATATAGAAAAAAGTTGTCTGTGAAGCATCCACTCATGAGACCGTTAGCACAGGTTTCCTGTGTTTGGCGCATTTGTTTACATGGTCACCGGTTTTCCTCACGGTGCATTCAAGTGGTGCCGCACACATTGGAAAAACAAGTTTCTGAGTTGTAAAATGCTTATGAACTCTTGCTGAAGTCGGAACAACAACTCAGGAAAGAATTAGCCACCCAACTTGCCGACTTCACGTCATAATCGCCATCACATGGGGGGCAAAATATGTTTTGTTAATGTTAAGATACTTTTTATTAATTGCACATCAACTTTTTGTTTAAAGATAACTTGTAACAGAGACATTCCACAGATCTTCTTCGTAGCATCAACGCTGTTTTTGTGCTGTTATTGCAATATCTCGACTTTCCAAAATGAAATCAAGTGAACACAATGAAGTCGGAAAAATGACTTCCCAACACGGAAACTTAGACCATCGGAGAAGCACATGAATGCAGCATTCGGAACAGAAGAGGTGAATAATGGTGCCATGAGAAATATCCAGCACAAAGAGGCACAGAGCAAAGGTCAGATATGATCCTGACAACAACACCATCAAAAATATAGATTTTTCATGCACACATGATGTCTATTTGTGTGGTTATCTGCCTTGTTAAGAGCCTTCATAGTGCTCTTTATAACTCCAGGGTTCTTCAAAGCATGAGCCAAATCAGGTAACTCCGTACAGTCATATACCCCTTTCACAGCCAGCAGTTTAAATTACATACACGTGTGTGAATGCATCAAAATCTGTTTAATTGAAGGTTTCATGCAACCAAACTGCATACGTATTCAAAGCTCCTAACAGAGAGTGGTTTGTAATCAGTGGTTTTATGTGGGCAGGTGGCAGAAAATGATTTCACATTAGCAAGCTTTGTTGATGTTTCAGAAATACTAAAACCATGAGTGATAGTTATACTAAATAAGGCACAAAAAAGAGGGAAAAGATGCAGTTTGTTTTAGTCTATGTTGTCAGCTTTTACAGTTACCCTATCACAGAGAAGTCACTCACTACAGGTGGAAACATTCTCCTTATTACTTTCACTTACAGTTATTGTTGTATCTTTATTCAAGTAGACAGCTGAAGAGAGACAGGAAATGTTTGGAGGAGAGAGTGAGGGATGACCCGAGCAAAGGGCCAAGGTTGGATTTGACTATAGCCCCCGCACATGGAGCGCGCAACATAACTTGCTAGGCTATCTGGCATCCCATGAGAGGAACAACTTAATGTAATTTCACACTGTGCAGTCCACTCGTGTCTTATCATACTGAACACTGAGTTCAAAGCCTGTGACCTCTAAGTATCTTGAGTCAAAGTTAATTTCCCGCCTACAGAGTTTCCATCCTGCTGATAAAGTTTGGATGTCAAAGACTCATGTTGGTCAATTCAGGGCTGAGCTGTGAGGGGAATAAATGTGATTTCTTTTCAGAGTGAATATGGAAACGTTTGTGATCAAGATGAGTTATATTTTGAACACTAGACTGTCACACAGTCCTGAGTGTGTTCTTCCTCTCATTCAGCAGCAGAGCACAGAGGTTCAGTGTGGCTGCAGAGCTCTACACCGCTGCTGTCACTGAGTACATATGGACATGGACTTGACTATCTCGTTCATGAGCCTTTACCCGGTTTTGATCACATTTGGTCTACATGCACATAAACAAACCTTGTTATTAATATCCCTGTATACAGGATAAAAACTAGTAGTTAGAAATCCCGATGAGGCGTGTACATGCCACACTATCCAATTTCTTTTAAGGGTTCTCTGGGTAGCAAAATCTGGGTAGCAAGGGCCTGACATGTTCTTGGTCTTCCTTTGCCACTTTCATTTCTCTTCTAGTGCCCCAAGACGCTGGCTGAGGGCCAATCAGAGTGATTTCTCAGCGCCAATTCGACATGTTGAATTGGGCAAAAAGCCTACGCCAAGCCTGAGTACTACCAACGGTGCTGTTCACACCACACTGACCAGTACCAGCGACTCTCTCTGACAGACAGCCCTGACAGTCGTCCCAGTAAGTACCTACCTTTAAATTGATGAAGTCACTGTTGCATGTTACAATAGCTACAGTTCATGTTACTGTTCGTTGTCAGTCTAATTAATGTGTTTCCCAGCTTGAAATAAAAAGTATGTTCAGACTTGTTATTTTCACTGCTCACATTGTGTACCCACTTTGGGAATGCCTAGTAGTTCTGCACTGCAATCTAGGTCACAACTACCTGTTGGCCCTGCCGTGGTAGTATAGATAAATATATATGTTCAATGCCTGCAGCTCATTTTCTTCAGCTAGAGAGAGACTTAGCCAGGGAAGAATGTTTGCAGAAAAAAGGTCACACTGCACTTGTAGGAACAACTGTTAATACGAGCCATATTGAGTCATTAGGATTCATCCTTTGAGTATCATGACTATTTGCCAAAACTCAGAATTACATCTGCCAGCTCCCATTTCATGGACCAATATGTCAGCTCCATCGCTGCCTGCCTGACTCCTGCCAGTTAAAGTAAGATAAATATTCACTGCTGGCTGTAAAACAAATTGCACCTCCGGGATATTAAAGTTTACCTTGAACCTTGACTGGTGTCAGGATACAGCTCATAAAAGTTCTGTATTGATCTCACTTCTGAACCTGACACCAGATCACACAGCACTCTCTCCACTCTGAGCTGTGACCTGCAGAAGTGCATCATTTACAGTAAAGTTGCAGACACTCTGTGGTTCTTGTTCTCTGGCGTTAATGACTCTTGGAGCTCTAGTTTCCTCTGCTGTTGTCTCTGTCCTGAATAAAGAGCTCCTCTGTCTATTTCTGGTGACTCCATCCCAGTGGTTTCCATCACAATAGACCCCCTAGCTGATTACCTGCGACTCTGTGGAGAACTTTGATTTATGACTGTTTTTCTCTAATTATATAAAGGTTTTCTGCTGCAACTATGAAGCTTGGAGTCGCCTTACAAACGTGTGAAAGCTTCCCTTAAGACTTTGCTGTGATCACAGTTTTTCCTCTGACAGAGAGCTAAATACCTGTCTGGAGAGTAGAGATACACTTTCTGGTTTTAGACCAGTCAAAAGTGTGTTTTTTACTCTGTCCCTGGACCTCAATGCCAACAGAGTTAATCTAGAATACAAAAGCAGATAAATAACAAAGAACACTGTATCTATGTAAATAAAATGACTAACCCAGTTGATGGAAAATCAGCCATTAAGATGAATCCTCTTTCCACTTGACTACCTCCCAATTAAAGTATTTACTTTGCAGTAAACAGAGAGCCCACAGATACGGAGCATAATTAGAGGAAGGAGGAGATGATTGACAGCCACTTGCAAAAACACAACAGGATGTTTTGGGGACGGCTGGTGTTCATTTCAACTGCCTTGAAAATAATCTCACAATTAAGATGAAGATATGTATAAATTAAAAGGAGCTATATGTAACTCAGACACCTAGCATTTGAAATGGGTACTGCAGTCCTGATTTAAAACATTGAAAAGAGCTGGCTCTCCTCCCGCCCCCTCCTCTCTAGAGTCGAGGTGCATGCAGGTTGCCATGTGGTGGACACTGAAGCTTCAGTGTTTATCCAGCTCTGCATCGGTCTGTAAACCTTTCTGTGTTCTAACCTCTCTCCGTTTTTCAAAAGCATCTCCAATATTGATCTTAGTTTGAGCACGTTTCTGCTCATGGAGCTTATTAGAAACATGCAGAGGCTTTTTAGGTCGGTACAATCACTTCTATCTGAATCAGTTCTCTTGCCCGCTTCCATCTCTGCAACACCTGTTGACCTGATAACTGCTCTCATATCTGGCAAACCCAGGGGCATCCAAAACGGCTGTGTGGGGGTGCCTTAAAACCGCCTACCTTCTCTGGTCTAAACAAATCCAGAGCATTCAGGAGCAGAATCTAAAGTTAGAAGGAGGACATACTGGCTGCTGCATTGTTGTCTAATGATAAGGTAATTTGCTGATTTAATTCAGTAGTTATCTTACACCTTAGACTTCTAGTTTCTCTGGAGTGTTTACACACATCATGCATGTTAACCTTGATGAAACTGTGGATGCAAAGTTGGTGATGATTTAAACTAGCTTTGGCAAAAAAACAGAGAGCTCAGCTGATCCCCTGAGAATTCTCTGATTGAGTCTCTGTGGACTTGTTAGCTCGTTCACTTCCAGAAATCCTGTCGGAAGAAAAACTCTCCGTATGAAGATCACAGAACATGTGTCACTGTGTTTTTCATGTGTAACTTGCATTCTTTATTTAAATTCATCACAAATCAAATCATGCAGCAAGTTTGCAGTAATTAACGGTCATCTGCAGTTTCATCCACTTAATATGCACTTCACATATTTCCAACTACAGAAAGTTTGATTGCTGATATACTAATTAAGTGAACAGCTAAAAACCAATCATATGTCATCATTTTCTAAGAAGGACAAACTCATAAATCTGCTTGACTGAAGTCATTGATAAACCTGTCTGTATTTGGGCTCAGTAGCTGGAAGGAGGAAATGACTAGAAGTAGGGCCTGACTGATATAGGATTTTCGATACAGA